AGTCGTTTGCCCTATGTCCTTTTTTCCCACACTTGAAGCAGACGATGGCTACATTAGCGGCAGGTCTGTTGCAACACAAGTGCGGTGGGTGAATCCCACGATTGCAAATATAGCACCGTGGTAGTGGTGAGTGGCTGTTGCCTCCTTTTTAGTATTTCCCCTTTTCGTCCATTATGGGACAATCTTTCTTTGTTTTCGCTCGGCTTGCTCCACCCTGAGCTTCAAAAAACTGGTCTGCCAGCTCAAGCATGTCTTCCAGGGATTCCTCCCTCCTTTCTTTCAAATATAATGCCAGGTTCGAACCACATCCATGCAAAAACCTCTCTAATCAACAATGCTCGGAGGGACTCGAATTCTGTCTCAGTTTTGGACAGCTCAACCCATCTATCGAAGTAATGTCTTAAGCGAGCCACGTACTGTGTTGCTGTTTCACCCCCTACTGGCCTCTCCTTATTAAACTTGTCTCGGAACCCATCCGCCGTGAAGCGAAAGCGCTTCAGGAGGGCGGTTTTAAGTTTGGTGTAGTCCGCTGCATCTGCAGGTGGTAGCCTGCCATAAACACTTAGCGCCTCTCCTGTAAGACATGTCGATAGCGCCGTCACCCATTGGCTTTCAGGCCACGTTTGCCCTCTGGCGATGCTCTCAAACCGGCGTATAAACGCATCTAAGTCGTCCCTTCCTTCGTCAAAGGTGACGAGCAGTCTACCTGCGTGTATTCTCAAACTCGGCTCCTCCCCGGCTTCGCCGTGCTCACTGCTTGGTCTGCTCACACTGGTACTCTCACTGAGGCGAAACTTTAATTACAGTAACTGCACTTCCCGTTCTCCGGCTTACCTAGCCGCTTCCCTTGCCGCTTCTCGTTCTTTCTCCGTTTCAACGCGTTCTCTCTCCTTTTCTTGGCGCTCTCTCTCCTTTTCTTCGCGTTCTCTTTCCTTTTCTTCGCGTTCTCTCTCCTTTTCTTCCCGGGCCAGTGCCCGCTCTTCTCTGGCTAACGCCCGCGCCTGTTCCTGCTGCTCTTTAACCCATTGTCTCAGTTCGGCGCCCTTGAGGCCTAACTGTTTACCGTGTGCGATCCACTTATCAAAATCCATACACTCCATACTGCAAACTGTCACTATAATGCCACTATAAAACCAGCGCAATCATATTCAGGATGCAACCGCTTCAACTGTGCGGCTCTATCACCACGCTGTCCGCACGGTTCTCGTTCACCCCTCACTGTCCTACTCTTGTACGGAACGTCCTGCCTCGCGGAACCCAGTTTTGTTACAAGCTGCCACTCTAGCGTCGCCAGCGCGAAGTCGGAGACGGGAATGACAGCAGGTTGGTTCGTTCCGTACGCAAGCAGAGACAGTGAAGAGATCAGAGACGTGAGAAAACAAAACAAACTTTACTCTAGTGATATTGCAGCACACGGGATCTAATACAACACTTCAATACAACTAACAAAATACATCAACACTTGATACAACTAAAAATACATATAAAAACAATAAATCAGCTTACGCGAGAGAACTATTACAAACTACACAACTAACACCAATAGACTACGGGGGAGAAAGTCCGAAGATATAAACAGGTGACGGCATACGTGTGATGACCCGCCGCGTTGCGTCCGCGACGATCGGATGCGAGAAGTCGAAGAGAGTTCTGGCACGACTGCGATGTCGGCGGTGTTGCAACGCTGGTGGCTCCAGGAGGCTAGTGCTTGCAGGTGACTTCGAGCAGGTTGAGCTAACTCGAGGCGAAGTCCCGATGTCTACGTTGCAGACGTTAATATCGCGTCACAACTAGACGAACAGCCAAGTTTAGGTGGCCAGCCGATACAGAGCCACACTAAAAACTTCTAGAAGAGATGCTTGTTGATCTGTTTCTACACCATGTTGGTCAGCGACTAGTCTGCCTAGCAGGGCAAAATCCTGCGCTTAAATCCCCCTCGTGTCTCCTCGCTCTCTTCCTTGGGGACAAGAGACCTCTACATGGGTCCAATTATGCGCGTTTAATTGATGGAAACTCCACCCCGAAAACATTTTGACCCTACCCTTTTTTAATTGGGAGAGGGCCCCCAACTAACGACAGTGACACACACGAAGCGCAAGCCGTAAGAAAGTGTGTGTGCCATCTCTCGTTTAGTCCTTGGAATGTCCGCTCGATGGCTGTCCTTCTATATGGGGAATGTATGATGAAAAGATGCGGGATGGTGGTACTTGGAGTGTTGAATAGATGGACGAACCGACACACAAACAGATGCATGAACGGACGGACGGATGGCGGCACGGACGGGTGGACGCATGGACGGACGGAAGCAAGAACGAATGGACGGACCGATGCTTCACCCCACTCTCCATCATTCACTCCGTGGATGTGCTGCCATTTTTTTGCTTCACCGAAGGAGGATCCGACGCGCTTGAAATGCTGTGCGAGGTTGTTGTCCGATATTTGGTGATGCAGGGTTCTTGGTCTGGTGATATGCAGTCCGAACACTGCCTAGGTGCGTGAGCATTAGCAGGTGTGGCAAAGCAAGCAGCATATCTCGCTCATATCAACAAAACGTACCTGATGCTTTAGTCCCAGAGTGGGATCAAATAAATCGATGGCTCATTTGACCATTTAATTGTTTACGGCTATCAGCGCACTGGCAGTGTAGCAAGAGCAATTCCGGATTGAAGCGAGCAGTCACTTCTGCGTTGGTGCTGCCATGTTGATTCGTAAACATCGTTATTGGTGGTAACCGACACAAAATATTGAATGCGTGAGAAATACTAGCGAAGAACAATAAACATATCATTTTTAGATGTGACGTAAAACGCGCCAGAGCAACGTCGATTCCAGCCAACCTTGTCAGTTTTAAGACACTTGCATGTGAAACTACGTTTTGCTGCGCAATTGTGTGGCTTTCTTACTCTGCGTAGCGTTGGCAGGGCTGAACTGAAGTGGTGAAACAGACTATTATAATGTATATAACATTAAGATGTAGGCGCTGGATCACGCGTTTTTAATTCAATCAAGGGCGCCTTTACTCGGATTTTGCTTGAATTGATTGTTTCCTTGACTCGAGCAGATGCGATGAAAGTAACGTTACCTTCAACCAGTAGTGGGGGCAACCCAATATAACTCAATCAATCAACTTTCTTTGTGGCTATTTCACAAAGAGACAGAGGAGCGGCGAATAAGAACTGTCTTCCGAAAGCTTGACGTGCCCACCGCCCCCATTTACAAGGACACACGGCAGCACAGCGATTGTTGGATTTATATATAATTAAAAAAAGAAATCAGAAAGAAAAAGCTACGTCATTGTAAAAAAGTACATCATTTCGAAACGATGGCTTTGAACACAAAAAAAACTAACAAGCGAAATGAAATACAGAAAAATAATGAAATACAAGAAACATATACGAGTTTTCTTTATTTGATTATTTGAGACCGAACCTTCGACCTTCGAATAAGGTTCTTCCTCATGGCAAGTTATCGTTTCACCCACTTTTATTTCTTCCATTTACATTACAATTCGGTCTAATAACTTCTCCTGTATTTTCCTTGGCAATATTGTCTGTTCTGTTTCATAAATATTGTGTCAAAACACGGAAAACTATACCCTTAAGTACACACTTCTTTGCTTCACTCATTCACGAGGGTCTCGTACTGGCAGACTTGGTGCCTTTAGGTTGTATACGAGGGACTATTGGCCAGCTGCCAGCTCGTAATAAGTTCACTTGCTACGTAACGCCGAAACAGGCTCATGAAGAGTGTGCCACACTAGCCGCCATGGCTACTGAGGGCACTGACTGACACTCCCACGTTTCAATTCACATATATACCCAATAAAGTGGCTGGAAGAAGAGCCACTATCGTAGCTCAGTGGTAGAGCATCGAACGCGTTATTTAAAGGTCTCAGGTTTGGTTCCTGCCCACAGCAAGTTATGTTTTCACCCGCTTTTCTTTCTTCACATTTACATTACAATCCGGTGCAATAACTTCCACTCTACTTCCCTTGGAATTATAGTCTGTTAGATCTCATTACTATTGTGTCAAAACACAGAAGAATGAGCTGTTATGTATACACTTTTTTCTTTAATTCATTAACGAGGGTCTCGTACTGGCAGACATGGTGCCGTTAGGCTCTAAGCGGGGTCTATTGGTCAGCTGCCAGCTCATAATAAGTTCACGTGCTACGTGACGCTTGAATAAGCTCATAAGGAGTGTGCCGCACTCGCCGCCATTGCTACTGAGGGCGCTGACTGACACTGCCATGTTTAAAATTCAATTATATACTGAATAAAGTGGCTAGGAGAATATCCGCTGTGGTAGCTCAGTGGTAGAGCATCGAACACTTTAGCTGAAGGTCGCAGGTTTGGTTCCTGCTCACGGCAAGTTATCATTTCACCCACTTTTGTTTCTTCGCAACTACATTATTTCTGTCTAATAATTTGCCTACACTTTCCCTGGCAGTATTCTTTTTCCTACTCATTCACGAGGGTCTCACTCTGGCAGATTTAGTGCTTTAAGTTGTATACGAGGATCTATTAGTCAGCTGCCAGCGCGTAATAAGTTCACGTGCTACGTGACGCCATATAGGCTCATAAAGGGTGTGCCATACTCAGCGCCATGGCCACTGAGGGTGCTGACATACAGTGCCACGTTTAAATTCACATATATACCCAATAAAGTGGCTGGCAGGATAGCCGCTGTAGTAGCTCATTGACAACAAAGCCTTTACCTCGGAGTATTTATTATTCAGACAATGTTCGCATTCTGAATACCTATTTACTATTCCAGTGACGTTTAGTTTATTGAATTGTACGTATTCTAGGCCTTTGGAGTCGAGATAAATGCATGCAAATGTCAAAGTGTTATTCGGGTATGCTTTCGAAAATTCACGCTCGTGATGCCGCACAGATCACAAATGTTTTCAGATTTCATGACAGTTGAAGTCACCTGCACATTGTCAGTTAGTTTTTTCGGACCCAACCAAGTAAAGTACATGTTTTTGTCTCTTCCAGATTCTGAATTACTTCGACTACTTTTTTACCACTGTATTTACCATTGAGATCACGCTCAAGGTAAGCTCTGCTTGGTCGCACTTTCAACATTGGTCGAAAGAGTGCAATTTTGACAATTATGAATTGCTACATCTTGTGAAGAAAAATGTAAAAAATATATAAATATCGCCTTGTGTATAGATTTAGCAATATATATATATATATATATATATATATATAACACAATAATAATGAGATATAACAGACAGTAATGCCAAGGAATGTACAGGGGAAGTTATTAACATTAATGGAATGTAAATAAGAAGAAAGAAAAGTGGATGAAAAAATTACCAACTGTACCAATTTTTTCATCCACTTTTCTTTCTTCTTATTTACATTCCATTAATGTTAATAACTTCCCCTGTACATTCCTTGGCATTACTGTCTGTTATATCTCATTATTATTGTGTTAAATACACGGAAAAACGAGCCCTTAGGTATACACTTCTTTCCCTTATATATATATATATATATATATATATATATATATATATATATATATATTAGTGTGCATTCGTCATGCGCTTCTTCTCATATCTGCACTCTGCATTATCATATTCATCACCATCCGTCTGGGTCTCTGTCCTTATTTTCACTCGGTGTCACAAAAATCATCATCAAGTGTGTGCGCGTTCTGTCTCAGACTGCCCGTTCACTGCTGATACCTTGGGCTGAATAAACACTGTCTCCACCCAGACGTCATACGTGGTTGAGGCGCATTTTCAGTCCTCGGTTGTCTCCCACCTCGCTCGACTCCCTGGAGCTGCGTTCAAACCGCTGATTGCCTCCACAACATGTCACAGAACGAGCCTGCCGGCGCTGCAGCCATCTTTCCCTCACCGTCTTCCCCCGCACCTCCTCTTTACGTACACAGCCACCAGCGCGGTCCTCCTCTCTTCGTCAGTCTTCGCGGGAAAGACGTGGAAGACTGGCTCGATGAGTACAGCCGCATGAGTGTTGCTAATCGCTGGGACGATAGCGCCAAGCTCTGTTACGTCCCTTTCTACTTGACCGGTGTGGTGGAAGCATGGTATTTTAACCACATCATTGACATACCCGACTGGGCGACCTTCGAGCAGCAGCTCCATCACGTTTCCGGAACACCGGCCATTCAGTCCGCAGTTTCGAAGAGAACCCTCGACACTCGCCTTCTTCCGGTGAGTCGTATACGTCGTACATCGAGGACGTTCTTGCGCTTTGCCGGCGTGCCAATTTATCTATGCCGGAGTCCGAGAAGGTACACCACATTATGAAGAGTATAGGCCCTGTTGCCTTCAGTGCCCTGGTTGCTCAAAACCCGGCTACCATAGCCGACGTCGTTCAGTTCAATTCAGTTTATTTCCCTAAAGGCCCCGTTTATTGAGGTGTTACATAAGGGGTGGAGGCAACATGTAATGGGTAAATTCAAATAAAAATATAAACCAATAGAACTTTGAAAAAAGAGGAGAAAATGAAAGCAAGAAAAGTTGATACACTGTAAAAACGAGAAGACACGCTATGTAATTAGTTTGGTAATATTAGAAGAAACAACACGATGTGGCAATATAACGTAATAATTATTGAAAATCTCGCACAAAATAACACTGTACAAATAAATACAACAATAACAAACAATGAACACTGTAGAAGTAATGACTCGTGGTAAGTACAATCAGTGGCAACTAATTTTGTAAAACAGAAGACACAGCAGCATAGAAGATGTGACGGTTATTTGTAGATGCAACATGGTGCGGAAGGGCATTCCACTCTGACGCTGTACGAGAAAAAAAATGAAGTAGAGAAGGTAGTGTGTGTGCGCTGTTGGGAAACCTGTAGTGGGTGGCCAGTGCGTTGCGATATTCTTGATGGTGGGGTGATGTACGGCATGCGATTGAGTGAACTGTAAAAAAAACTTATGAAAAAGACCAAGGCTGCATATCGTACGATGGTGTAAGAGGAATTCTAGTTTAGATTTTTTCTATTAGGGTGGATATGCTTACGTCATATGAGTAGGATGAATGAATGAATCTTGCTGCGCGATTTTGAAGAGACTGAAGTGCGTTGATGAGGTATTTTTGATGTGGGTCCCAGACTGGTGAAGCATATTCAACTGTAGGCCTGATTAGTTTTATGTACGCTAGTAATCTTACGTCGCGTGGGGCATGACTTAAGTGGCGCCTCAGGAAGCCAAGTGATTGGTTCACCGTTAACAGAATGCTTTTTATATGTGTGCCCCAGGTACGATCAAATGAAATCAAGACTCCTAGGTACTTGAATGATGGGACTGTTTCAATGAGACTAATGGCAATCATGTAAGGAGAAGTAATGGGGCTGTGACTACAGGTAAATGATATATGTTTGCTTTTTTGGATTGAAAGTCATTAGCCACCGGGTAACCACGACTGCAGGTGGTTAAGATTTTGCTGTGATGTATCTGCGTCAGTAATATTGTTAATGGCATGATAAATCATGCAGTTGTCTGCGAACATACGGATGTTACAAGTTACATGAAGGGGTTAGTCATTGATATATACCAGAAAAAGAAGTTGGCCAGAAACAGACCCCTAGGGGACACCTGAAGTAACCGGAAGTGGGACGGAGGACTGATCACTGACGCTGACGAATAGCGAACGGTTGACTAAGAACGCTTCAAGCCATTTTAGTAGGTTGGAGTTTAAGTTGAAGAAGGAAAGTTTATGTAACAAGTGTCGGCAAGAAACCTTGTCAAAAGCTTTTTCATAGTCGAGGAAGATAGCGTCAGTTTGTCTGTTACAGTCAAGATTCGTATGAAGGTCGTGAATGAAAAGAGCTAGCTGCGTTTCGCAAGAAAGGCCCTTGCGGAATCCATGCTGTACAGGATCAAAGAAATGATTGGCATCCAAATGGTCTATAATGAGTGAGTAAATGACGTGCTCCAAGATTTTACTTGGCAGACTCGTGAGGGAGATTAGGCTATAATTTAGTGGGTGAAGTCTGTTACCTGCTTTGTAGATGGGAATGACTTTTTCCGCTTTGTATTCATGAGGAAAGCAACCGACTGAAAGCGACTGAGGAAACAACAGACACAAAAAGGACGAGGGTATATCTTTGGTGTTTCTTAACAGTTTTGAGATAACACCATCGATACCGGCAACAAACGAAAGTTTCGGGTTATCAATAACATTTGAAATACCAACTACGCTGAATGTAATTGCCGGCATACTGGATAATATGTTGCTAGACAGTAAAGGTAGAGGAGCTCTAGTATCCTTAGTAAAAACTGATTCGAAGGCATTGTTGAAAGTAGTTGCGCAGTCAGTATCAGACATAATGTTCCCCAAATCATCAGAAAGTGTTAAGGCGCTAACATGACTTGGGTTTGTTACTTGCCAGAATTACTTTGGGTTTTCTCTAAGTATTTTGGGCAAGTCATTGTTAAAAAAGCATGCTTGGCACCACGAACAACAGATAGATACATTTTTTCGGCAGAATAATATTTTTCCCAAGTGTTAGCATTGGTACCCTATTTAGGAGCTCGGAAAAGTCTTTTCTTCTTATTTTCTAAACGCTTTAAGTGATTAGAGAACCACGGCATCTGCCGATTCTCACGGAAGGTAATTTTTGGTATACGTTTCTCTGCTAACCCTATCGGAAAAAAACAAATGGTGGGCATGGTGTAAACCACCACCCACCATTATAGTGGATTAATGTAGTGGGTGAATGGTGGGAAACGCCCACCATGGCGCATGGTGGGATATGGTGGGTGCTGCAGTGCCGGCAACCCTTCAGCACGAAATGGCGTTAGAATCACCGTGACGAGCTGGCACAAAAAATAAAAAAGAATTCTATGAAAACGGTATAAAAAACACCCATCCCGTAAAAAAAAGGTACCATGGAGGATCGAACGTGCAACCTGCGGATTCCCATTCGGAGACACTAACCACTGCGCCGTACCAATTTGAGGTTTGGTTGCGTGTTATATAGTTAGTTGGTATGCAAACTTACGGTTCAACTTCAGTTATGTTTGTCGTTTACACGACATGGACGAGATCTGCACCTGCTACTAAACATTGCACAATTATTAAACACAAGCAACTGCTGCCTGTAAGGATTGCCGCTGTGTTATTGGCACCAGTGCTATTTTTGTACAATTCACAACTGCAAAAAAAAAACCAAGTGGACTGGGGAGCAGCAAGTTTACTGGCGGGGTCTGCCAAGTTTAATATCCGTTTCGCGCTCGTTCTAAAGGGCGACATCTGCTCACGCTTTATGACGCTTCTAGGCTCATTTCATAGATACGCCCGCCTAATTTATTTGACTGAGTATTGGGATGCTTTTCGCGCAATGTAGAGGGCGGTCGTGCCAGCGCAATGCTGTAACTCTTTCGCTAAAGCAACAACTACATAACGGCTTGGCCAAAACGAATGCAGTGTGCCGGAAACATTACACTATCATATTGGTTCCCCAAGCATACGAATTGCCACGTCTGAGTTCTCGCACAAAAGCTAGAGAAGTGCCGGCAAGTGCGACCGGCGGCTGTCGGTGAGAAAAGACGTACGTTCTCTGGGAGTGCTTGAATCACGTCGCATCGATGTTTGTTGCGTCTTGAGCGGACCCCATACACAATGAAAATGCTTCATTTAGGTTAATTGATGCCGTGGCTGCGCTGTATTGTCATTCTTAATCATCGAAATCGTGTATTTTTAAATCCGGAAGCACGGATAACATTAAATGTACGGGTTCGGTCGGTAGGCCTAACCTTTGGTGGAAATCATGCTGGTAGAACATGTAGTACAGATCCTAGCTTGGTACACTATACGAATTGCCTGCCATTATAAGCCCACCCATCATCTGCTTACTGATTATCAGCATTATCGCAATGGTGGGCAGAGCTTCTCAGCTTGGTACACCATGTGGCCCACCATAACAAGCAGCACCCATCATCTGCTTAATGCTTCCCAGCGTTATCGCAATGGTGGGGAGAGTTTCTCAGTTTGGTACACCATGTGGCCCACCATAATAAGCACCACCCACCATATGCTTAGGGCTTCCCAGCATTATCG